AAGACCTGGAGAGGAGATGTGCAAACAGAGACGGAAGCAAGTCAATGCTGGTGGTAAAGAACAGATTCTGGGATACAAAGTCTCACTCACAGGACAGAGCACACTGATGGGTACAAATCGCAAGGAGGAGCATGCAGTATCTCAGATTTCTGCCAACCACCTAACAATGAAATAAAACATAACCACTCACAGAGAGAAAAACATTTTCAGTCTTCTCAAATCAGGTAGCAAGATTAAGATAGTAAGTATATTTGCAGTACCAAGTCTAGTGAGCTTATTCATACGGTACAATACAGACCCAGGTGACATCACACTCACCACATTAATATTAAAGCAAAGTATGAGTTATGTATCATTCTGATCTATATTTAAAAGTATCACTTGAAAGAAGAAAGTGGAGAAATTAACATCAATTTACTCTAAAATTGAGGGATTTGAGGTTGAAAAAAAATCAGGAGTTATATTGTATAGGAAACCTGAATGAAATCTAAATACTTCTGCCAGTAAGGAATGGCCCAAAGGTAGGAGACAAACTCTGAATGTTACAATAACATCACCCAATGAAAACACTTTGATAATGTCTGCTTGTTTCTGCTGTGACAAGACTGCACACAGGAAAATGTGCCTAATGAATGAAAGGCTCAATGCCTGATTGGTTTGCCATGGCCATTAGGATAAGATAAATGGCATAAAAAGCATTGCAAAGACATAAGAGGGAAAAATTTTAGCAAATGATAGGTGCAGCAGAATACAGCAGCTGATATAATCTGAAGATGTGTCACCTGGGATACAGGAAAGTGATCACCAGGTAATAATAATGACAGTAATGATGATGATGCATAAAACACTGTGAAGACTACAGGCTAACAATCAGCCTACAAATCTAAAAGTGATTATTGCCTATAATAACAAACCTAGAAACAAAAAAATAAAAGTCACCTAAAGGTGCCCTGAGATATAATTGTGACAATAGATGAATAAATCAACCAAGAGAAGAATTTGTTTATGTTTGCTTTAACATGGGTATTCTTTTGCACTTAACTGAGCCATTTAATAAAAAGTAAAAAAAGTAAAAAGTAAGAAAGTAAAAAGTAAGAAAAGACTGTTCTATAAAACAGTCTATAACATATTCTATAAAAGAATACACAAGCCTGAAACTTGAAGCGTGGCAGTGGCAAACCATTTAACTTCTATAGGCCTAATTTTCCCCAAACATATAATGAGGGGCTGTGCTAGGTAATGATTACAGTCCCTTTCAGCTCGGCCTCCCACATGTATGAAAACCAAGAAGAGAAAGAGAGACAGAGAGGGAAATGGATAAACCAACCAGGACCACAGGTTCCTGCATTGGTTGAGCTGCTTATAGTATCAAGGAAATGTGATATTTAAATAAAATAAAGATTTAATCAATATAAGTGACAGATTTATAGGTCAGGAAATTTCTATTCCAATAATAGGTAACCGAGCCTAGCATCAAAAAATACTAATTATTGGGGCTGGCCCCATAGCCTGGTGGTTAAGTTCAGCATGCTCAACTTCGGTGGCCTGGGTTCGGTTCCCAGGTGTGGACCTACACCACTTGTCGGTGGCCATGCTGTGGCAGCGACTCAGATACAAAATAGAGGAAGATGGGGCTGGCCCCGTGGCTTGGCAGTTCAGTGCGCATGCTCCTCTTCTGGCAACCCGGCTTCGGATCCCAGGCACACACCGATGCACCGCTTCTCTGGCCATGCTGAGGCCAAGTCCCACATACAGCAACTAGAAGGATGTGCAACTATGACGTACAACTATCTACTGGGGCTTTGGGGAAAAAAAAGGGGAGGATTGGCAATAGATATTAGCTCAGAGCCGGTCTTCCTCAGCAAAAAGAGGAGGATTAGCATGGATGTTAGCTCAGGGCTGATCTTCCTCACAAAAAAAAAAAATTAGAGGAAGAAGGGCACAGATGTTAGCTCAGGGCAAACCTTCCTCAACTAAAAAATGATAATAATAATTATTACCGATATTGTTGTAATTAGACACAAACAGCACAAACTCATTTGACAGACTAAAAAGACGAATTAATTCATCTTGACAGTTATCCCAATACGCTTTCTGTTATATAATGAGTGCAACTTTTCATTTAGAAATTTCAACAGAAATTTTATTGGACATTTATTATGTATCCTGAATTATCCTGGGTGCTGGAAACACAAAGATAAAAAGAATAGAATTCCTGCCGTTAAGGATCTCGCTGTCTAGTGAGGGATACAGAAACATAAACGGACAGTCAGGATGAAATAAGATGAGGGACGGGAAGGAGGAAGGACTTGAAAGAGGAAGACTTCTTGGATGTGTGGACACCTGAACTGAGCCTTAAAGGACTGAGGAGAATTAACTCAGTTGGCTGGTGAATGTTGGCCTCCCAGCCAGAGGGACTCTCACGAACAAAGTCACAGAAGGGAAAATATAGCCTGATTAGTGCAAGGAACTACAAATGTGCTTTTTTTTAAATTAAGGTATAATTGACATACAACATTATATTAGTTTCAGGTGTAAAACCTAATGATTCAATATTTGTATGTGTTGTGAAATGATCACCACAATAACTCCAGTTAACATTCGTCACCGTACATAGTTACAGAATTTTTTTTCTTGTGATGAGGGCTTATAAGATTTACTCTCCTAGCAACTTACAAATGTTTTATTGTTGCTAGAACATAAACTAAAGAGAAAGGGATGCAGCTGGAAAAAATGGCAAAGGCTCGATTGTGGAAACTTCTTCATATGTCAAAGAGCTTGAACTTTATTCTCTAGGAGTCATGTGAAAATATTGTGAGATTTCAGCTTGAGCAGTAACATGGTCAAATAGGCATTTCAAACAGATATGAAGGAACCAAAAAAGGAAGATGGGAAAGAAACCAATTAGGAGGTCATTTCAGTGGTCCAGACAAGAAACATTGAGAGCAACGGTAGTGGAGATGGAGAGGAAGGGACTACTTCCAGCAATATTTAGAAGACAAAAATGGCAAGACTTGGTAATTGATTAGATGGAGAGGGTGAAGGAGACAAAGGAGTTAAAGATGGAAGACTCCCAGGTTGACGAGTTGAATGATATGACCACCAACTTAAGCAAGATATGGGAGTAGGAACAGGCTTAGAAGGGAAGAAAATCACTTGAATTCAGGATATGTTGAATTTGAGATGTCCATGAGACATGCAGTTGGAAAATCCTACCCGGAGTTGGACATAACACAGATGATGAGTTATCAACATGTTGGCGTGAGTTGAACTGAGCGTGTATAAGACTAACCATAGAAGAAGTGAGGACAGGATCCAAGGGAGGACCCTGAGCTGCACTTATGTTGAAGAGATGGATAAAAGAGAGACATAGGCAAGGAAGAGTTATAGGAGAACAGAGAGCACTGTATTTCAAAAGCCAAGGGAGTAGCAAGTTCTGACTTGCAGAAGTGATCAAAATTAGAAATAGCTGAATCGACACTTTTCCTCGAGAAGTCATGCCCCTGCATAGGATTTGAATGAATCTAAAAATATCTCAGTCCACAATCATATAAAAACAAAACTCTTGGAAAAGAGACCACACAATTCTTCTTCATGAATCTATCTCAAACGCCTAGCCTAAAACCCCTTGTCCTTCTATTTAAAGCATTCTCTTTTGTCCTGTCTTCAGGGAAACAGAATGCAGTCATTCATCATTACTCAGACAATCTACTTTCATATGTTTTATTTAGATCATTTCTTTCTGATTTTCCTCAGACCACTTAACCCAATTTTTGCAAGCTTTCTGCAGTTTTCTCACCACTTAATTGTTTTTGTTAGCCATCCCTGGAATTTTGCCAGATTCTCTATTTTTTCTTACCCAGGTAGGACCTGAAAACTGGAATAAATATTCTGAGGGCCTGGTTAGGGCCAAGTGTATTATCCACATACAGCTCATCTTGTGCTTCCTTTTTTATCAACAGAGTCTCCTTGACAGCTTTTTATTTTGCAATTCACAGCTTTGCTTCACACGGTCAGGCCTGCCTTAAGTCTTATTGTGAGAATTCTATAACCTCACTGAAATTTTAGAATTGGAAGAAATCATAGAGCTCATCTAGTCTATTTGCCTACCTACTGAAGGATTTCTCCTTCTGAACCCCTCCAATGATTGTTCAGCTCAAATTCAAGAAAATATCCTTCCCTTACAGAAAGGTTGTTGTTGTTTTTAATTTAATAAATTGTAAAATCAATTTAGTGCATCATAGGTAGCACTTTTATTAAATAACAGAATGGAATGGATAGGATAGAATAGACTAGGATAGGAAAAGGTTGTATGGAATACCAGAGTCTATCAAAAGCAGTAAGGATAAATATCATTTCATGAAACTTCTGTTTCAGTTTGGGGAGGGGGGATCTATGTGTGTGTGTAAACTGTACCTCTTACTGTGAGTTACAGTCCAAAACTTTCTACATTGCCCTGCAGCATTACTCTTACCAACCTTAGGAAATTAATTTGCCTATTCTTTGTTTCATCAAGCTTAGCTTTCATTTAAATCAAATTTTTCAAGTTGCTAGCATCAGTCCAGCTCAAAGCTACTCCAGGTCTTTCTTCAGTTAATCTGCTAACTTTGTAGCATTTGAACTGGTAACATTTTATCTAAATGAAGACTGTAAAGAGCTTCATTAAAGAGTTTCTTCCTCTCTCTCTCTCTCTCTGTCTCTCTCTCTCTCTCTCTGTCTCTCTTTCTCTCTCTTTCCATGCCATCCCTCTGTTATTTTTCCTGCTACCTAACCAGAAACTCTTCATTTGCATTTTTTGGCAGCCTGAGCCAGATGCACTGTCGCTGCTACATAGCTTTATGATACCTGCCTTTTTCAACCTCTATTATGCCGAGACATAGTTCTTTCCCTGTAAATCACAAAGCAGGCGTTCTACATTGCTAAAAGACCTACCTTCCCTTGCTCTCGAATCTCTCTGAATTAAACTCACTGTAGCCTTTCTGCTATTGTTGCTCTGTTAGCTCTTTACTTTTGGATGGAGAGAAGATATTCGACCTGGTGAGCCACTACACACCCGAAAATTCTGCTTTGATGCGATCTCACACAACAGCCCGGTCACACTCTATGACTGTCACGGTATGAAGGGGAACCAGCTCTGGGGACACCGGAAGGTAAGAGCATGCACTGCAGGCATTCTCAAACTGCTGGGCTTAAGATTTTCTAATGCAAAGCTTTTTTAAAAAAAAACACTGTTTTGACTTAAATTGTTACCTTGACATAGGTACGCACATTTGGCTCACACATTTAGACACCACCAGCAAAGATTAGGGGAAAGACAGAGTATGTAGGAAGGGGGCTTGATTTTGGCTTTGTTATGTGCACACCCATCACAGTTAGTTAAGATTGGAAAATGGCTTTGAGCCAGAACACTAGGACTGCAAGGGACAGGACTAGCCTTAACCCAGACAACTCCCAAATGGAGGGACCACGTGCCCAATAAACAAATGTACACATGTATGATTTTTAAGAACCCCAATTCGCACACTCTCACACGCACACAGATTAACACATCTCTTCATTTATTATATATCTCAGGCTCATTACATTTACATAAATATTTATACATTCCTATAGATGCAATTATTGCGACACTTATACAGAAAGTGACTCATCTGTAATTTGGCCAAAATCCTGCCAAAGTAAAGCAAATAAGAATTTATTTGGAGAATTTAAAAGTTTAAAGAATGAAAAAGTTAATATTTAATGATAGAAAAAATAGTTCAAAAATGAATATAAATCGTGTTTTATTGAGTTGATAAAATAAAGAGCAATTCAGTTTTTATTTTTAAATATTTTCATTAAGTTGTCTTTCGATAACTTGTTAGGATACCATACAAATTTTTTGATTCAACTTCTTTAGTTTTTAAGGCAGAACTTGGCTGTCAATTAGCAAGTACTCCATAAACTCCATTCTGCCCCTCAAGTTCGTAGAACTGCTGGGGACCTTCCCAGCCAGGTAGAAGATGCCCTCTGCTTGCCTTTTCCCACTCGGGCATAATTCAGCCTTACCCCAGACGATAAGGAAAATGTCATACTTGCCACTTTAATCATGAGCTTTGGCTATCCTGTGGTTAAGATAAAGTCAGTATCCCCTGAAATTACAGAAAGCTAAAGGGAAGACTCTGCAGAGCATCAACACGAGGGGACCCCTGGTTCTGATTCCTCTTCCCTCACTTAATAAGCTTTCTGGTATCCACCTCTTAGCGATGGGCACCTAAAATTATACTCAAAGGCAGACTCATTTGTACAAGGTTATTCTGCATACTGCCACCTCCCACAACATCTGGCAGATTGTGGCTCTGTGTCCAGAAAACGTACAAAACGTCACATTGTTATATCCCCTCTACAAAACAATTTAAAATCAAAAGAGCTAATAAGAAGATGGCATCAGATATAATATGGGGGGAAGGGCAGAAATCACTGCAATAGGAAAACTTCGCTGTTCTCCTTATAAAATACGTTATAAATAATTAATCTTGTCCAACCCTTTTGCTATTCAATATGATAAAGTCTGTGTGTGGTGCAATAAGGAAGTTTTTTGTTTTGTTTTGTTTTTATGGTTATATTCTGACCTATGAGAAGTTACTTTCTGGGCACATAAATAAAATACCTCATTGTCCATTTGCCTAGTATGCTGGTGGTCCCTGATGAACAGACCCTTTCTCATTACTGTGCATTTATAGCATGAGAGAACACTCAATAATGTGCATGTAAGCCAACAAAATACGGGTTTTCATTAGGGAGCTTACAAAAGCTTACAGATGGATAAGACCAAGTAATGCACATGCACACAGAGCTCCTGGGAGAAAAAACAGCTGCCGGGATTTCAAGAGGTAACTCTTACAGCTTTAACACTTTAAACCTTCCCAGGACCCTAGGGAACTTGGGAAAGGAAACCACTAGATACAATTGTGCTATGGCTCTTTTCTCAGATCTTTTTGTAGCCATTGGCCTTGCGTGACTTAGCAAAAGGTTACACTCACTGTGTATTTCTATAACAAACAAGGTATTTATACATAATCAGGAACGTGCCAATGTTTCCCCAAAATGGAAAGTTTCTGAAATATCTCATCTTGGGCCATGACTCAGGCCTAGTCAAATGTGCCTTTTAGGAACTTTTAGAAAGTTCCTGTTGTTTATTTCAAAGGCTATTCCCAAGGCATAGAGCAAGTCTCTAGTGGTGCTGTCTATTTAGATACACTACATGGCCCTGGGGGCTTCCAGACAGTCTAGCAATCTTTTGAGTCAGCTTTGGCACTTCGCCTTTTTATTAGCATATTCACGAATCAACAGGATCCCTAAGACTCTAGTAATAGCCTCAAGGACCGGTAGGCCATCTCCTAAGCTCCTAAGGTAATCATCATTACCTCCAACAGTTAAGGAGGCATTGAGCTACTGCTTTACACACATTACCTCAAACTTTACAACCACCTAGGTGCTATCACGTATATTTCACAGAGGAAGAAACCGATACCAGCAGATTTGTGGCAGAGCTAACATTCAAACTCAGGAGCGTCTGGCTTTCAAGTCTCTGTTCTTTCCTTTGCCATGCTCTTAAGAAATTAGATCAATACTCCCTGGAAGAGTTCCCCAAAGCCTGTTGGCTTCAGCACCACTGAGAGCAGCCAACGTTCCTCCCAGCTCCATAGAGATTTCCTGGAGAGGGAAGATATGGCCACAAGCTACCTTCCTTGAGTGGGTGAAGGTCGTTTTCAGGCCCCACTTTCTGTCCCATCCGCAGCCATGAGCTTTCAGTTGTTGTTGTTTTGTGTGTTTTCTTGTGTGTGTGAGGAAGATCAGCCCTGAGCTAACATCCATGCCAATCCTCCTCTTTTTGCTGAGGAAGATTGGCCCTGGGCTAACATCCGTGCCCATCTTCCTCTACTTTGTATGGGACGCCAACACAGCACGGCTTAACAAGCGGTGCGTCGGTGTGCGCCCGGGATCTGAACCTGGGCGGCCAACAGCGGAGCGCGCTCACTTAACCGCTAAGCCACAGGGCCAGCCCCTTGTGGGTTTTTTTTAGGAAGATTTTTCTCTTTTTTTTTTTCAGCTTTGTTGAGATATAATTGACATTTAACATTGTAGACATTTTGGGTGTACAATGTAATGATTTGCTATATGTATATACTGCGAAATGATTACCACAATAAGTTTACTTAACACATCTATCACCTCACGTAGTTACAATTATTTCCTGAGATGAGAACTTTGAAGATCTACTCTCTTAGCAACTTTCAAGAATATAATACAGTTTTATTAACTATTGTCCACATGCTGTACATTACATTCCCAGAACTTATTCATCGTATAACTGGAAGTTTGTACCTTTTGGCAACCTTTACCCATTTTTCCTACCCCCAGCCCCCTGCTTTCAGTTATTTTTACATATGCCTCTTCGCCACCTCAAGAAAAGAAGGGAATCCCTGTTCTATGGTCTCGTAACTAGGTTCAGTTGCACAACTGTGTCCCACAATAGCAGGTACCCAGAACAAGGAATCCCAGTCTTGATTTTCTTTTACCACCAGGGGGACCCCTGTTACAAGAACAATAAGTTGTTGAAGCGACCTCAGTAAAAATATTTAAATCATCACCCAACATCTGAAACAAGAAGCTGTCTTCCCTCTTCTTCAACCCCTACATCTAATTGGTCACTAAGACTTGTCCACCCCCTCCCCCAGCCAAAATCTCGAAAATCCATCCTCTCTTTTCCCTGGTTGTAGCCCTTCCCATCTTATCCCCGAATTATTGCAATAGCTTCCTAAAGGATCGCCCTGCCTCCTGTCCTTTCCCCCTCTAAGCCCTCTTCCATCCTGAAGTGAGAGGGAGTTTCTACATAAGCTGGTCATTGCATTCCTCTGTTTTATAACTTTACTTGCTTTCCCATTGAGTAGAAGGTGAAGTGCCTTCTCCTCCCAATTCTTATCCTGACCCTTCACAGTCTGGTCAACATAATAGTTGCCTGTCAAGCCTAACACATCTGAATTCATCCTGAAACTGTAATGCCATCTTGAATAAGTTATTTCACATCCATGATTTTCGACTTCCTCATCAATATAACAGAGACAATAACTGAGATATATCATGTAAAACTTCTAGCACATTTTCTGACCATATGATCAAATTTCCATCCATGTGGATGATAAATGCACTTTTTAAATTGAAAATAGTGGTGAGGTATATCCTGATATCCTGCATCACTATAGCAATCTATGCTAAGCAATATTAACTATTGCTATCCCCACCCCCAGATTAAGAGCTATCTCACGTGTCCTTTTCTTTATAAGTAAACATTTTTATTGGAGTATAATATATATCTTAATTTGGGTTTCCCCAGGTGTATACCCTGAAGTGAGAACTTGAGTGCAAGTGGTTTACTTGGGAGATGGCCTCAAAAAATCTTGGTAGGAAGTGGGGAAGTGAAATGAGGAAGGGATGGGAGCCAATAAACGGTGCATTATCAAGCTAGTACCACTGTGGGCAACCAGAGCTCAGTCCTACTGAAGATCTCTGGGAATGGTAGAGAACCCGCATCAGAGCACAAAGGAGTTGGGATATTTATAGACCAGTCCAGTCCATTTTAGGTTAGGGCTACTCCTGAGGGGAGGGGAGTTACTCTCTGACATCTCTGGGCTTGCTGCTCATACAGACAGAACTGTTCTTGAGACCAGAGACAGCTCTTAGAAAGGGAGATACAGTGGCCAACTGCTGAAGGTGGGCCAGCAGACACTGAAATGGTGAGGCCTGAAGAGCTATGGGCAAAGTGCAGATACGACAAGAGTCCAGTTCCTCGCCAACACAGCATTGTCAGTTTCTTTTTCTTCTCCTTTTTCATTCTGTGGTTGTAGAGTGATATCACATGTGTGTTAGCTGTTTTGGATATCTTCTTGTGAAGGACCTGTTAAGTCTTTTGACCGTCTTTTAACATGGGCTGTCTGGCTGCTTCTTATAGATTTTGGGGTTTTTTAAAATATATCTAGATACATGTGCTTTGTTGGACATATGTATTGTAAATATCTTATTCCAGTTGGTGTCTTGCCTTTTCTGTCTTGATGAAGAGCTATTCTTTATGATTAGTGTTTTTTATGTCCTTTTTAGGAAATCTTTGCCC